AGCAGGGAGCCCGATGCGGGACCCGATCCCGGGACTCCAGGATCATGACCTGAGCCGAAGGCAGTCGCTTAACCAGCTGAGCCACCCAGGCGCCCCACCTTACCCAAATATTATTTGATAACCGCTGCTCTGTTCCATATGGTTTTTCTGGCCCTTTGCCAAAGGCCTCTAGGGCAGCAGTTCCAGTGGAAGCTTGGAAGGATCTTAATAGTTACTGCCTCATCCCTTCACCTTAAAGGTGAGGAGAGCTGAGGGGAAGTAAACCCTAAGGTCTCCTGACTCTGACCAGTGCCCTTTTAAAATAATAGGGACCTGGGAGGGAGGCTTCCCACGAACCAGGTGCTGGGCTTTTCTTGTGTTCTCATTCACTCCTCATAGCTGCCCTAGCCGTCCCCGGTAGCACTGCTGTCACTGCCCTTCTGCAGGGCAGTTCGAGGCCTCGTGAGGTGGTGACTTGCCCAGTGTCACATGGCCAGCAAGTCGTAACTCCAGAGCCCTCAGCCTTCAGCGCTTTGCTCCGCCACCTTCCCGTGAGTTCACCTCACTGGCCTGGCTGACTCACTGAGACTGGTTTGTTAACGGGGCAGTAGAATAAATGTGATGGTTTACTGCCGCCCCAAACAGGATGCCTGGCACATGTCAGGTGTCCCAGAAATACTACCTAGCTGCTGCCGTTGTTACTAATAATGAAAGTCTGCGAGTAGATGACATGTTCATCTGAATCACTGATAGTGATTGTGGTGCCCGGTCTGCCTCAGAAAGTTGAACCTTAGAACACTTGAGATGGTTCTTTGAAAAACAGGAGAAAAGAAGTCTTGGAAAAGGATCCCTCTCAATCTTCCAGCAGTGCTTCCTCGTAGAATCTAGGCAGAGGAACTGAGTACTTAGAGTCATTTGTGACCTGAAGAGAGTTGGGCACGATTTCCGGCTTAGGTGACTGGGCACTGGGGTGGGGGGCGCTCTCTGATGGCGGCGGGAGAAGCGAGGGGTCGCATCACTGCATTGCCTGTGTCAGAGCGTTTTTAGTGTTAAAGTTGATGAAACAGAACGAAACTGCAGAGTTGATTTCCTTCCCCCCCCCTTTTTGTTGAGGTATAATTGACATACAACATTATATTAGCTTCAGGTGTACAACATAACGATTCGATATTCGTATATAGTGTAAAGTGATCACTGCAATCAGTCTAGTTAACACCTGTCCCCATACATACAGAATTTTTTTTTTTTATGATGTACAGAGTCAGTTTTTCTAAGTTTCTAAGCTCGCCTGGCCCCTGGGGGCCTGGAGGGGGTTTTGTGGCTTTCAGAGTCTCTGTCCTGGGCTCAGGGGCCGGTCTAATGGCTCTGTTACCTCAAGTCTGTCCAGAGTGGGTTTGAGGGGCAGAAACATGTTTCCTCACAAGCAGTGACTCAACCCTCTCTCTCGGTGGCTGTCTCAGCCTCCATTGTGTTCCCTCCTCCAGGAGCTTCTGAGGAGAATGGCCTGCCTCACACTTCCACCAGGACCCAGCTGCCGCAGTCAATGAAGATTATGCATGAGATCATGTACAAACTGGAAGTGCTCTATGTTCTCTGTGTGCTGCTGATGGGGCGTCAGCGAAACCAGGTGGGCCCCTCCCCCACGTCTCAGAACAGGGGGAGCCAGGAGCACGTGCTCCCTGGGCACTTGTGGTGTGCCAAGTACTCCATTAGGCCACCTCTCAGGAGGGCTGTCTCTGGCCTTGCAAAGCGCAGGGCTCATTTTCCTTCTCTCTCTTTTACACATCAGGAAACTGGTCTCGTTCCAGAGTCCACAGCCTTTTCCACTGTACCTTGCCATGGGCAGCATTTCTGGGCAGAGAGCGTTGGTGCCCAGGACAGGAGCTGGTGGTTTGGCCGTGTTACCTGACCTTGTTAATGTGAAGAATGAAGGTCACTGTGGCAAGATGACTGCCCTATAGATGCCCTAGAGGAGTTGCCAGTCTGATGGGGGCTTGGGGGGATGGCCAGAGCCAGGAGCTGTGTCAGCAAAAACTAGGCAGCTGCAGAGTGGAGGGGGCTCCAGATACACTGGGGTTCCCTGAGCCTTGAAGCAGTTCTAGGAGGGAGGAGCAAGGGCCTGTAACCTACAAAGGGAGAAAGAGGGCTCTGGAAGTATGTAGCACTCCTCTTCAAGATAGATGAGAAATGGCCTTCTCCACTGGCTAATCATTGTCCTGTGGATGAAAAAAAGGGTGTTGGGGGCGGGGGGGGTGGAGAGGGGGGCGCTCAGCAGTCCTTAAGCTCCTTTTCGAGTCAGACACTGGACCATCACAACAGCTCTTGTGAAACTGGTGCAGTTATCCCCATTTTGGATAGGGTAGCCAGGGAGAAGACTCACTGAAAAAATGACGTGCAGCATGGGGATGTCCTGAAGCACGTGAGGGGGCTGGGCACGCTGATCCCCCAGGCAGCCTACCAGGTAGAGGGAGCAAGCGCTGAGGTGGGAGTATGCCCTGTGGGTTGGTGGGACAGTAGGGAAGGGGGGGCATGGAGTAGAACAAGCAGTGAAGCGGGGGAGGGACTGTGGGGGTCAGATTGCATCAGGCTTTCATAGGCCATTTTCAGGACGTAGGTGTTTACTCTGAGTGACTAGGAAGTCCTCCCTCTGGCTGCCCTATGGAAGAGGTGATCGTAACCAGGACCAGCATGTTGGTGGAGGGGAGTGGTGAGAAATGCTTCCAGATATATTCTGAAGGTAGAACAGGTAGAATTTGCTGATAGTTTGAATGTGAGCATGAGAGAGGGGTTAAGGGTAGCTTCTTTAACTCCTTCTAAGGTTTTTGGCCCAAGCAGGTAGCAGGATGGATTGGCCATTTATTGAGATGGTTAAGACTGTGAGTTAGGGTGTTGGGGGAGAGGGGTGGAGGCGTAGGGAGAAAGGCAAGGAATTCAGTTTGAACAAGTTAGGTTTGAATCAAGTGTCTGTTAGAATCGGCACCTGGATTATCCATGCCTGGAGTTTGGGGTGAGGTCGGGCCTGGAGATAGAACTTGGGGGTTGTAAGCCTACGGTTGGTATTTAAAACTAGGACCATGGATGAGATCCCACACTGACCTCCACAGTATCAAAGCCCCTTCCTTCAGCATGGAATATATTTGTTATAAAAAATAAGAGTTGGGGCACCTGGGTGGCTCGGATGGTTAAGCGTCTGCCTTTGGCTCAGGTCATGATCCCGGGATCCTGGGATCGAGTCCTGCGTCGGGCTCCCTGCTCAGCGGGGAGTCTGCTTCTGCTTCTGCCTTTCTCTCTCTGTCTCTCATGAATAAATAAATAAAATCTTAAAAAAAAAATAGTCACTATGCTTTACATGTGTTGGGTGCTTTTACCTTTTTTTGAGGCACTTTCACAGTTACTTATATTGGAATTTTCAGCTATTTGGTAAGTTATAAAACAGGTGGTGACCCCCTCTCCCCTCACTTGATGCTTGAGAAAACCAAGGTACAAAAAGGGCTCCAGGCATCAGTAGAGCGAGGATTTAAACTCTGCTGCCCTGACTCTTTCTGTCCCCCCATGACTGTCCCGTGCTCCCCAAGCCTTCCTGTTACCAAGTCTTTGTGAATCAGTCGTTGTGGTCTCCAGTTCAGCTGTGTGATTACTGCCCTGCTTCCTCAGAAGGACCGTGGCCTGGCCTCAGGACCCTGCCCCCCCAAGAACCAGTGTTAGGCTGGCCCGGCCTCATCTACACCGTACACGTTTACTGTGTTCCTCCTGTGTGCCCGGCACCGTGTGCATGCACCGTGCCGAGACGGGGCCAGCGAGGGGAAGGGTTTCCCTGGCCAGGCCTCCCAGAAGGCTCCTCCTCAGAGTGCTTATTATTGTGCCTTCAGGCCAAGTTCTCTGGCCAGTCTTGGCTACGTTGAAATCACTAGACTGGAAACTTTGCCCAGATGTTGGAAATTCCATTTCTCTGGTGCTAATGTAAATAATCCGTACAGTACTTCTGTACGTCAGGCCCTGAGCTTCCCCCACATTACCTCACTGAATCCTTTCAGCGGCTTCGCTATCCCTCACTTTCTTTGTCACGTTCTGGTCTCCTGAGAGAAATGCAGACCTGTGGTGGGCCTGAAAGAGTCAGGCTTTAGGATCAGAACACCTGATTTGGGGCGACATTTCCACCACTGCCTTGCCCAAGTTGGTCCTGCTCAACTTGCCCTTTCCCCTTGTAAAATGGGATTTAATAAGCACTGGTGCTGTGCTCAGGGCTTTACTTACGGTTTCTGACCTTATCCTTACAAGAGCCCTGAGAAGAAGTAGTAATAGCTTCGTTTTCTGTAAAAAGTTTTTGATAGGTAAGTAATTCACACAGTTCTATATTAAACTGTGTAAATAAGTATCAGTTCTGGTGCTTCTATGAAGCATCTAATTTTACCAGTTATTCATATATCCTTCTAGAGACATTTTATGCTTATAAAAGCAAATATATTCCTCTCTTTTTTTAAACACAATCAGTATAGCATGTATGTATTTGCCTTTTTTTTTTCTTTTTAAAGATTTTATTTATTTGACAGCACAAGCAGGGGGAGAGGCAGAGGGAGAAGTAGGCTCCCCACTCAGCAGGGAGCCCAAAGTGGGGCTCGATCCCAGGACTCCGGGATCATGACCTGAGCCAAAGGCAGACACTTAACCAACTGAGCCACCCAGGCACCCCCATATTTGCTTTCTTAATATTGAATCTTGGTAAATGTTCATTACATGTGAAAAAACCTCAATTCTTTTTTTTACTGGTACCTTATTCCCTTCTGAATGGATATACCATGATTCATGCAACTAATCCTCATTGATGGGGAGTATAGGTTATTTTTTTGGTATTACAAATAATGCTACCATGAGCAACTTTGTACATGTGTCATTTAGTATGTATATGGATCTGAGAATAAATTCCTCAAAGTAGAATCGCTGGTCAGAGGGAATGTGCATTTGTAATTTTTAGAGATAATACCGAAATGTCCTCCTTCTGCAGGTGGTACCCCAGTATGCTCTCTCAGCAGCAGTGTGTGAGCATGCCTGAGGCCCAGCTCACCAACACAGTATTATTAAACCTACTTCTTTGTTAATCTGAAAAAGTGAAAAAGTGGTTGTGATTTGAATTTCTCTTAATATTATAAGTGAGGCTGAGCACTTTCCATATATTGAAGACTATCTTGTATTTTCCAGTGTGTATCCTTTGCCCATTTTTTCTGTAAGGTTGGTCTTTTTGCTTAAGAGATTTGTAGGATTCCTTATGGAGGAAATTAGCTTTTTGCCTGTGACGTGAGATTGCTGGTATGGACCCACCTTTGCTTACTGTGAATTTTGCCATAGAGAATTTTTAAAGATTTACATGATTGAATTGAATGGTTTTCTCTTTTGGCTTCTAGATTTACTTAGTATACTTAATACTTTAGAAAGTCTTTCTCATTGTGTGGTCATTTTTTTTTTAATTCTTTGCATAGATTCTTTTAGGATATTTAACATTTAATTTTTTTAATATGTTTATCTTGCCGCCAGTTGAAATTTATCCTACTCTGAAGCATGAGGGGTGTTTTTATTTTTTAATGATAGGAGGAGGGAACAAACTAGGATTAAGAGATTTGATTAAGGTTACAAAGTTCCTATGTGCTGGAGGTGGGAGTCAACCCAGGGTTCTCTGAATCCAAACTATGTTCCTGAAAGAGGACCCACCATATAGTGTGACTCCTAGAGTATTGTGGGGAATCTGTGAGCAGAGAATAAACGTGTATCTGTGCATGGGGGGAGTGCGGTGGGGCATAGGCTAAGTTGGGTATTTCAACCTCGGCAGTCCTTACTGAGTGTCGCTTTCTTTGTCCTAAAGATTGTTTTGTACATGCCAAGCATGAGGCTTTGATGAATCTTCGCAGCATGTTTGTCATAATGCTTTTGCCTTCCTACCCCATCCAGGTTCACAGAATGATCGCGGAGTTCAAGCTGATCCCCGGGCTCAATAATTTGTTTGACAAGTTGATTTGGAGGAAGCACTCAGCATCTGCCCTTGTCCTCCATGGTCACAACCAGAACTGTGACTGTAGCCCGGTGAGCAGGGGACGTGGCAACAGATGGGCTTTACTTGCCAGGGTAGTTGTTTCAAGATCTGCCATTGACCCTTTGAAATCTCATTTTTTTATTTTTGATTTTTAAAGATTTTACTTATTTTGAGAGAGAGAGCACGAGCAGAGGGGAAGGGCAGAGGCAGAGGGGGAAGCAGATTCCCTGCTGAGCAGGGAGCCCGATGTGGGACTCGATCCCAGGGCCCTGGCTGGGATCATGACCTGAGCCGAAGGCAGAAACTTAACCGACTGAGCCACCCAGACACCTATATATATATATTTACATTTATATTTATTATTTATTCATAAAGTCTGTATAATCCCATAGTGGAAGCTGTCTTGGAGCTCCGGCAATGCGGAAATCCCTTTGAAGGCCCTCTGGCCAGCTTTGCCTTGCTCACCTCCGGAATGGGGCGCTCACTGTCCTCCAGGCAGGGCCCGCCACTCCATGACCTAGTAGCAGATTTTCCCTTGTTCTGTACTCTCCCCGCATTGTATCGTCCATCCACCGATGGTAGTTTTGCCCTCTGAAACCATGCACCACCAATGGTCTGCAGACAAAAAGGGCTTTGGGATGCTTTCTTTTTTTAGGGTCAAGGGCTCACCTCTGTCTGGCCTCTCTTATGGTGCACTGGAGAGAGCATTGAACTGGGAGTCAGGAGGCCTGTGTGCCACTCAGCTCGTTAGGAGAGCTTGAATAAGTCACTGAATCTCTGAGCCTGTTTCTTGCCAAAGGAAGGTCCCACTCCCTTGCCTGCTGTCCTCATGGGCCATGTGGAGGCCTGGTCACCACCACGGAGGGGCCAGGGACTTGAAAGCGCCACACAGCTGTCAGTGCCATAGGTCCTCCCTGGTCCCTGTGCCATGCTCTGGGGACTTTGCTCCATGCCTTACCTTCCAGCATACTTTAGCGTTGTTAGATTTTGCCTCTCGGCCCATCTGAGTTTTTAATTTCAGGTGAATATATTCTGCATTTTGAGACATCTGGCTCTTTGTCAAAAACGACTTGGTGTTTACTCATTATGTTAATGTTCTGTTGTATTCTATCTCTTTCATTACCTGCAACATACTTTCTTTTTGGTCTCGGATTGCTCCTGGAGTGCTAATACTTGTATTTGAGTCTTGAGACTCATCTTGGGGTGGAAAGTTGCCTCGTGCTCTGTAATGTAGCCTGGGCCCTGGAAGTATTTCTTTAGAGCACTTGGCTTTTGTCTGCCGGGTATGTGAGGGGTAAGTGTCCCAGGGCAGATTTTCATGTTGAGTGCCTTGGCCCTGGAGGTGTGAGCCCAGAAGCCTTCTCCTGGGGGCTCCCCTCCACCAATAGCAGCACCCCGACAGAAATGGGCATCCTTGCTAGCTCCCTGGGCTGGTAAGTGGGGGTTTCCTAACCCTTCTTCCACGGAGTGGGTATGATTCCCGGGCTTTACGTGGGTCCAGGTTTCTGTCTAGTCCCTGCAGGGCATTAAAACCCAAGCCCTGGGTGAGTAAGTGTCATTTCCATTTCTCCATCCTCCCCAGCTGCCAACCATCTGCTCTCGCGCTTCCCACTCTGAGCCCAGCCCTTCATTTCTGATTCCTGTGGATTTTCCTTTGTTAGGAACTTAGCCTCACATTTTAAAGAATTTTAAATTTATTTTTTATCCAAAGTGTTGGAGGGGGTGGGGGTTAGCAGGAAGGGTCCACATTAGCTTAATCCACTGTTGGCCAGTTGTGGAGGTCAACAGAGGGTTTCTGGCTCAAGAAAAGTCCTCATTGTGCACGAGGACAGAGGCTCAGAGGAGCCAAGTGACACACCCAGGCTTTGGGCAGAGTGTTCTGTTTCCTTTGGGAACATTGTGAGGATGGTTTTGACATCAAGGATGCACGTGTGTTTTAGGACATCACTCTGAAGATACAGTTCTTGCGGCTTCTCCAGAGTTTCAGCGACCACCACGAGTAAGTACGAGCCGTCCCCGGAAGGAGAGTTGTTGTGGCAGCTTCGCTCATCTCTCTGTGCCGTTGGTCTCAGCTCGGGAGGGCCCCCGGGCGCTGCGGGGCGCTGCTTCTCGCGCGGCCCTTCCTTCGTGCCAGGCGCGGTGCCAAGCTTGCCCCGGGCCCTCACGGCCAGCCTAGGAAGTGAGCGCGGATGTTGCTGGCCCCTTGTTCCCCTTGGAGTCGATACATCTCTCAGCTGTCTGCCCCTGTGAACGAGGAGTGGACAGCTTGGCTCTTCACAGGGACCTCAGGTGGGCAGAGTGGGCTGAGTATTTGCTGACTGAACACGTGGACTCTTCTTCACCTGCACAAGGAGATGTACCCTCTCCCATTTTTTTGAAACACATTCTGCTCTCTCATTTTTTATTTTTCAACCTTAATGGAGAGTATACAAGAGACTGATTCTCTGCTATAGGAAGAACAGTCCTGGGGAGGGATGAATAACAGCTGACCCTTGACCTTGGCACTGGGGACAGTGTGGTGGGGACTTTGGTGAGCTGGAATGCACAGGCAGTTACTGCTCAGCTCTGGCCAGCTGTTGGTATAGAGGAAACTGGGCCCACTATTGCATAGTTTCTGAGTTTTTCCCCCAAGGGAAGCTAGGAATTAAGATTTATGTGAAAGGTCCTGATTTTAAACGTTGGCTTAAATTCCTTTGAAATGTTGTATAAGCTACCAGAATGTGCCTGAGGACAGATGTGGTCAGGGGCCTCCACTTTGCTACTTTCGTCTGTATAATGTCGACCATCCTCTTTCAGAGGTTCTCTGTGTGAAGGACTTAAGCTCCAGGAAGTACGTGAACCCTCTGAAAATGGCACCAATATGTTCTGATTGTGTACTTTTTTTCTGAGGAATTGGGTCCCTAACTTTTTTTTTTTTTTTAAGATTTTATTTATTTATTTGACAACGAGAGACACAGTGAGAGAGGGAACACAAGCAGGGGAAGTGGGAGAGAGAGAAGCAGGCTTCCTGCCGAGCAGGGAGCCCGACGCGGGGCTTGATCCCAGGACCCTGGAATCATGACCTGAGCCGAAGGCAGACGCTTAACGACTGAGCCACCCAGGCGCCCCGGGTCCCTAACTTTCATCAGACTCTTAAGTCTGAGCGCTTGTAGGCGCTACGCTCTGGGGAGACAGTGATGAGTGAAAACAGCCATGACCCCCACTCTCCTGGAAGGGAGAAGGACATAAATCAGAGAATTATACCATTGAATGTACAGTGACAGATGGAGATAGTATTCCTGTGGAGGGAGCATGGTTCCGTAAGAGAACATTTGACAGGGGTCGTGACCTGGCCAGAGGGTGGTCAGGAGCTCTTCTCTGCAGAAGTAACTTGTCAGCTGAGACCCAAAGGGTTGGCAGTGATAAACTGGGTGAAAAGGAAGAGTGAGAGGCTGACTGTTCCAGAAGAATCTGCTGCAGGAGGAAGCGCCGTGTGTTCAGGGAGGCCAGTGTGGCGGGTGATGTGAATGAAGGGGCCTTGGCTCAGAGTGAGGCTGCAAAGGTGGTTGGTGGCCCAGCCACAGGGCCTTGTGGGTCATGTTGATGGGCTTGGATTTTATATATTCGAAAGCTTGTGAAATTGTGGGGGCGTTTTTGACAGGGGGATGATGTGATCCGAGTCCCGTTTTCTAAAGACCTCTCTGGGTGCTCTCTGTGTTGAATCAGGTCCCGGGAGAGACCATCTAGGAAGCTGACTTGGGTGTTCCCAGGCTGAGAGGTGAAGGGCGCAGGAGGGGGAGTCACAGCCGACTCGGGCCCCCTGGTGGGAATGCTGGAATAGGGCCAGGTTTGAGAAGCAAAATGGAGAGTTTGATTTGGACATCACTGAGTTGGAAGTGCCTTTGAGAAGTCAAATAGAAATGTTCAGTGGCAAACAGAAGGCCTGGAGATGTTGAGGGAAGGGGCCTTGTTAGTGAATGTGGCAGGTGGACAGGTGGGCTTGGCCTGAGCCCTCTGCCGCCTCGGGCAGGTGGTGTCGGGGGAGGGCACTTGGGGGATTCTCTGATTCTCACCACAGGAAATGGGAGGGCCCACTAGCCCAGTGCCTGTCCTTTACCCCCTTCACCCCATTTGTTTCAGGAACAAGTACCTGCTGCTCAATAACCAGGAGCTGAACGAACTCAGTGCCATCTCTCTCAAAGCCAACATCCCTGAGGTGGAAGCTGTCCTCAACACTGACAGGTGGGTGGCGTCAGCTCGGGCCCACAGCGGACCCTGGCTGCGTGCGTGCCCTCACGTGTGCTGCCGGTCCTTCCTCACTGATGGGGAGCTCCAGCGTCCTGAGGGCGCCTGGGCGTCAGGCACTGTCCTCACATCACCTGCGTTACCTCTCTGGGGCCCCCAGCAGCCCTAGTAGGGAAATGCTGTCATCCCCTCCGCTTCACAGAGCGGGGAGCAGGAACTCGGAGAGGTCACTTGCCAAAGGTCACATATGCTCTGCCCGCTCCTGTGTCACTCAGCTCTGCTGACATGCTGCTTTCTTGCCTTTTGCCAACTCCCATTAGCTGGGTTATGCTTGCGTCACCTGAGCAGTAGGGAGGTCACAGGCTCCTGGGGGTCCGGGCAGGGAGGACTGTATCCAGCACCAGAAGTCCTAATTCTCAGCCTCTCCCTTTTTTTTTTTAAAGATTATTTATTTATTTGACAGAGTGAGATGCAGGGAGAGAGGGAACACAAGCAGGGGGAGTGGGAGAGGGAGAAGCAGGCTTCCCGCGGAGCAGGGAGCTCGATGCGGGGCTCGATCCCAGGACCCTGGGATCATGACCTGAGCCGAAGGCAGACGCCTAATGACGGAGCCACCCAGGC